TTTTCGAAATTTTCAAACTTACGAGCTAGATTGAATGTCTGTTGTGTACACACACGTTTACTACATGTTTTAGTAATACATTAGAACATACATATATTTAAAAATATTTTTAGTTACAGGGTGATTAACAAATGTGTGACGGTAGTTTTTCCAAAATCTCACTAATTTTACAGTGACGTCAGAGAGGCATATTTTTAAAAAATACTACGCAATATGGTATTTTGGCAACAAAATATTATACAATACATTTCCTATAAAGGGTGTTCTAATAGAATCAGTTAGATTACTATCTGTATATTTTAAAATCTTATGATTACATACCTACTTAATGTAATGATATTAACTTACTCAAAAGTTAATAAAAGATTTGGAGTGCCCTTGTAGATCCACAGTGACCAAGGCAGAAATTTGGAAAGTCAACTTTTCCGTGGAATCTGTAACATAAGGCATGAAGAAACCCAGAACCACAGCATTGCACCCACAATCCGATGGAATGGTAGAGCGAATGAATAAGACCATTGTAAAATATCTGTCAAAAGTAGTTACGACACCATCAGCGAGATTGGGATCAGTATATTTCGCTCTTTGCAATGGCTTATAGATCCGCTGTCAATGAATCAATAGGCCAAACACCAGCAAAGGTCCTGTTTGGGCGTGAGATGAGACTACCGTGCGACCTCGAGTTTGGATGCCGACCTGGAGAAGATGTAGCTTGTGAAGATTATGCGATCCAGTTACGAAGAAGAATGGACGATATGCATGAATTGGTCCACTCGCATCTTCAAATCGCCAGTGACAGGATGAGGAAACGGTACGATACCCAAGCTACAGAGCGATGTTTCAAGGAAGGCAAAAAAGGCTGGCGCCATTTGAGGGTAACCATGACGAGGAAGAAGAAGTAAACCAGCTCCAAGAAACACCTGACCTTGTCTTTGAAGAATTTATGGGTGCATATGGAGGTACCGGAAAAGCTTCCAAAAGACTACTCGCTGGTCCATAGTACTTCCGCCAGCATCAACGACGCGCGAGGACTGGCATATGTGTTCCGTAAGAAATTTGGTTGACTGCTAGAACTTCAACGTCAGTTAAGAGCCGCTGGAAAAGCCTTGAAACTTCAAGACGAATGGCGCTACCTTTTCTATTTGATAACGAAGAACACCTTTCGAGATCGATCCACTTATGATGTATGGGAAGCATTACTTGGTTTAAGGGAGTACGTACTGGGGTCCAATGTACATAAACTAGCCATGCCGAAGATAGAAGGAAATCAGCTGGATTGGAGGATCATTAGATACATGGTGGAAGTAATCTTTCAAGATACCCGAGTCCAAATACTGGTCTGCAGCCATTCACCCAGTGTCCAGGTTAAAACAAAGACAGTCCCTTGCTACTTTCATGGAACTGTAAATTGTAAAAGGGGGTTTAGTTGCAGATACAACCATTCCGTTTTAATTTCGTAAGAGTTCCAGGAGGAACTATCTCTTAAGGAGGGGGAAATGTAATGAGAGCTATTTCATTATTCAGTCATGCTCTAATTCTCCAATTCCCTCTCTGTCTTATTTGACCTTTGAGGCTCCACTTGTCCGATTATCATACATAATTAAACCCCTTAAGATCAAACATATGTGACGACTATGGCTAAGGCACTTTCGAGTACATTCCAGAGTCAACGTGATAATGTTTCTAGTATTGGTAAGAATTGGTGAAGAAAATTCTAGTACCTTCGCCAAAATTTTAAATGTGTATATAAATATTGGTGGAGGAAGAATGCAGCAATCAATTGTATATAGACCGTGAAGATAAATAGTTAACATTTTAAAGACTTTCGAAATATATAAATTAGAATAGTATTGTTCTAAAGTAAATAAGTGTTTAAATAAATTATTAATAAATAAACTGTTGTTTAAAATAAATAAACATTACATTATTAAAACAAATATTTCTTAATACCTAAGTAAGTTATTTTCAGAAAACTGTTTTGAAATAGATTAATTCTTAATTAAGTGATAGATAACTGTATAAATGGGACATTCGCACATAGATCATATTGAAAAAAAAAAAAAGAAAATTATTATTTTGGCACTTAGATCACTAAGCCCGACTACTCTACAAATAAGCACCAACTAAGGAGTTCAAAGGCTCTTAGCTTTCTGTCGCAGTAACTAAACTAATTCGATTTCAAATGAATAATATGAATTAAAGATATATACACTTGTGTGAAGTTAGCGCCCGGCGCTGGCGCCCAATATCAGCGCTTACCCCCCTCCACAAAGACAAGTTCACACTGCTTAAATTCATCAACACTTTGAGTAGTTACAATTTTTCATTTAGGTATTTATTAATGAGTAAAATTTATAATAATATGTAATGAGATGATATAAATTGAACATAAAAATATATCAATATAATTTTACGTAACCACAGCGTTTTTGTATCAGATATATTCTGGCTGTGCAAATTTTTAAGACCTATGAGGGCTATACGTAATATTAGAGAGGAGGGAATTATTTTTGGACGAGAAAATGATGCGTTGTACCACATTCTGGTTATGTGGGATTTAATCTGCTACTTGAGGACTACTTTTTATAAAAATATCAGTTTTCTAAAACCTCGGCGTCATAGATTAAGAAGCACCCCTAAAAAATTATTATTTTTTACGAGGAAACGGCGCTTTGTGCCACATTCTGACTAAGTGGGCTTTAATTAGGTAGCACACGACTACATTCCCTAAAAATTTAAGTTTTCGCCGTTTCCCCGTAAAAAAATAATAATCATTTAGGGGTGCTTCTTAATCTATGACGCCGGAGTTTTAGAAAACGGCCATTTTTAGAAAAATTAGTTCCCAAGTAGAAGATTAAATCCCAAATAACCAGAATATGGCACAACGCCTAATTTTCTCGTAAAAAAATAATACATAATTAGGGGTGCGTTTTAACCTATGACGCCAGGGTTTTAGAAAACGGAAATTTTCAGGGAATATAGTCGTGAGGTACCTGATTAACTCCCACTTAGTCAGATTGTGGCACAAAGCGCCGTTTCCTTGTAAAAAAATAATAATCTTTTAGGGGTGCTTTTTAATCTATGACGCCGGGATTTTAGAAAACCGCCATTTTTGGAAAAATTAGTTTTCAAGTAGAAGATTAAATCCCAGATAACCAGAATATGGCACAACGCCTAATTTTCTCGTAAAAAAATAATACATATTTAGGGGTGCGTTTTAACCTATGACGCCGGGGTTTTAGAAAACGGAAATTTTAGGGAATGTAGTCGTGAGGTACCTGATTAACTCCCACTTAGTCAGATTGTGGCACAAAGCGCCGTTTCCTTGTAAAAAAATAATAATCTTCTAGGGGGGCTTTATGACGCCGGGGTTTTAAAAAACCGCCATTTTTGGAAAAATTAGTTTTCAAGTAGAAGATTAAATCCCAAATAACCAGAATATGGCACAACGCCTAATTTTCTCGTAAAAAAATAATATATATTTAGGGGTGCGTTTTAATCTAGGACGCCGGGGTTTTAGAAAACTGAAATTTTTAGGGAATGTAGTCGTGAGGTACCTGATTAACTCACACTCAGTCAGAATGTGGCACAAAGCGCCGTTTTCTTGTAAAAAAATAATAATCTTTTAGGGGTGCTTTTTAATCTATGACGCCGGGGTTTTAGAAAACCGTCATTTTTGGAAAAATTAGTTTCCAAGTAGAAGATTAAATCCCAAATAACCAGAACATGGCACAACGCCTAATTTTCTCGTAAAAAAATAATATATATTTAGGGGTGCGTTTTAACCTAGGACGCCGGGGTTTTAGAAAACTGAAATTTTTAGGGAATGTAGTCGTGAGGTACCTGATTAACTCACACTTAGTCAGAATGTGGCACAAAGCGCCGTTTCCTTGTAAAAAAATAATAATCTTCTAGGGGTGCTTTTTAATCTATGACGCCGGGGTTTTAGAAAACCGCCATTTTTAGAAAAAATAGTTCCCAAGTAGAAGATTAAATCCCAAATAACCAGAATATGGCACAACGCCTAATTTTCTCGTAAAAAAATAATATATATTTAGGGGTGCGTTTTAACCTAGGACGCCGGGGTTTTAGAAAACTGAAATTTTTAGGGACTGTAGTCGTGAGGTACCTGATTAACTCCCACTTAGTCAGAATGTGGCATAAAGCGTCGTTTCCTTGTAAAAAAATATTAATCTTTTAGGGGTGTTTTTTAATCTATGACGCCGGGGTTTTAGAAAACAGTCATTTTTAGAAAAATTAGTTTCCAAGTAGAAGATTAAATCCCAAATAACCAGAATATGGCACAACGCCTAATTTACTCGTAAAAAAAAATAATACATATTTAGGGGTGCGTTTTAACCTAGGGCGCCGGGATTTAGAAAAAGTAGTCCTCAAGTAGTAGATTAAATCCCATATAACCAGTATGTGGTTCAACGCACCATTTTCTAGTAAAAAAATAATTTTCTCGTCTATCATATTACTTATAGTCCTCATGAGGTCTTAAAAATCCTCACAGGCAGAATATATGTGATACAAAACGCTGTAGTTACGTAAAATTATATAGATATATTTTTGTGTTCAATTTATTATTTTCTTGTTGTCTCCCCTATTGACGAGAAGAAGAAAGAAAAGTATCTATTGCAACTACTCAAAGTTTTGATGAATTTAAGCAGTGTGAACTTGTCTTTGTGGAGGGGGGTAAGCGCTGATATTGGGCGCCAGCGCCGGGCGCTAACTTCACACAAGTGATATATACATTGTGTTCCATATAAAGTTGGATCCATATGGGATGGCATATATAATAGAGATTTTGTAACACATGTCTGATACTTGTAACTTTGGTAATAAAGATTCGTTTCTCACATAAAATATTACTTACTTAATACATAGCAGTTTATACAAGATGTCCCCAAAAAAGTAGGCCAATCCGTATTATAGGTCGGTGTAAAACCTGTATTATTTTTTTCGATTGGAGCAATCATGTTCAAGGTAATAAACCCCACGCAATTAGTGCCCTCTAGAGGTAGGTGATATTTAGGCTCAAATTATAATTTGCCATCCCAAAAAACTTCGGTTTACCCATTTTAAGCCATCTATTAAAACGACGAAAATATAATGAAAAACGATTTTTTTAAAATTAACTTTGTCACCCTGTAGGTATATTGAACATGATCACCCCAATTGAAAAAAAATTAATAATAGAGGTGTCTTACACTCATCTATGGATAAAGGATTGGCCCTGTATAGCTAAAAATGTATTATCTGAGGAATTTCTATTGGTTACTTCCTCAGCCCCCTTTTCACCATTCTATTGGTTTTTAATGGGTTTATTGCTTAAAATAGACATTTGAAAGATATTAACTAAAAGCATTCTTCCTCAATTAATTTTCAGCAAAAATGTATAACACCCAACAACCATTCTAAATGATAAGACAAATAAAAATGCCGAGTAAGGAAAGGAATATATTCAAAATGTTGATTTTGAAAACCACAGCACGCTATAGCAACGACCAAAGTAACCAGTGCCATCTATTAGTATGAGTGTAAAATATCAATATTTGATAAGTAGTTTCTTCTATCTAATATTTTACAGATTTACTTAAATTTTATTTCAGAGTTATTTCAATAGATGGTTCTAGTTCTAAATTTTATCAATTTCTCCATTTCTTTTTTTTTTTAATTTTAAATTAATTTTTCTTTAAAATAGTAAAGAGAAATAGAAAATACAAAATACTACATTAAATTAGGCTTAGCTATGAAGTCAAATATATAAATTTTATTGAATTTCACAAACTAATGTAATTTTCATTTTATAGAATAGATTTGGTAGGTACCTATATTCTGAGCTACTTTTATTTCCACATGTTATTGTGTAATGTCACAATAATCTACAAGGTGTTTCTATTAATGAACTTTATTTGTCTTTAGGTATCTACTTTAGAAATCTAAACTTACATATTTTAAATGGACAAACATATACATTTTAGACACAGTGAAAGGTTTTTAAATCCCTTTTTGAACTGTATTAGGTTTCATTAATAATCTGTGGTTACAGGCTCATTTAATATATTCGTTTCTCTCAGTAAGGGTAAAGACTGACACAGCAGTTCAACCACCGGGTTTGACGTTTTTACACCCACACATCATCTATGATCCAAACATTTATCGAGTCCGTTCTTATTTCTTATTTTTATCACTTGGTACATTATGGATAAATCACACACAGGTGCATACCACTGATTGTTTCTCTAAACCCAGTATACTGTCGATTGTTTTAAGAAACTCTAGTTCTTATGACAATGAGCAGATTAAGATTCTGTATATCTATATTGGCATCCAAAAAATCGTTTTCGATTAACATTTTTTACTCTTATAAGACATATTGTTATACCTACTCAAAGCTCACAAACGCTTGTTAGAATTGCAACTACAGGAATACAGAACATCCCAGCAATACAATTTTTTATATATTACTATTATTTTTTATATAACTATACCTACTATTATTGTAATTTACATTTTTTATAAAAATGTATTTAATCGTATATAGGTATATGCAATAAATATCACTTGGAAGATGGTTCAGAGAAAGTAATATTATAATTTGGATAAGCTTTCTTCAAAATAGCAACTGCAAGTTGATGGTCTGCTTTACCATAACCCGTTGATTCTCCGTATACGTTGATGGTTTTCTTATCTGGATCATGTTGAATTTTGCCCCCACCGAGTACTGTAGAACCAAAATCTTGGATAATTTTCTGAGATTTTAATGTTTCCAATTCAGATATAACTTTGTTATTTATATCAGTATGAAAAGGGCATTCCGCATAGCCTCGAACTATTGTTTTATCTTCTAGTTTACCATCAGCAGTGGGTACCTTTACTTTGAGTAATATGTATTTAAAAACTCCTTTAGCATCGATATCAACGTCTTTTAATTTTGATATTGCAGCGGAAGACATTCTTCTTATTATTTGCATTTGATACTATACCCACAATATTATCTCGAATATTATATACCTTTTAAAAATATTTATTTCATTGACACTGTCACCATGCTGTCACCGTCATTGTAGAATGTGCTCGATTTTATTCGATTTTCCACATAGAAAATTTGCCTATGAAGACTTATTTGCCCACATACTTCTATTATTAGAATTATTTCTATAATTAAAATTATTAGATGTAAATTAGCCAGTTACGAGAAACAAAAATGTATCATGTATTTATACATGCATAAGAGTTAAAATAGCAGCACAGAATAAATTCTGTGATAGCAGCATAGCTGAACATATAGTATGCAACCAATAAAACAGATCTCTGTATGTCTGGTTATCTATACATCACGTTTAAAATAATAAAATAATCGTTTCTTTTCTGGCAGTATAATAAAAGGATTGAAGATGTCGGTTGTTGACTGGATGACATGATATCGTGATTGACAAGAGGTTTAGGTACCTGACTGACATATTTTTGTTATGATTGTAGAAGAACATTTTTAAATGAGTTGTTTGTGATGCCATTTTCTAATATTTTTGTCATAATCATGATTTCTTTAACACAATAAGCCTTTTGTTGGGAACACCTTTTTGGCCCTTATTGAGACCCACACCTTTTATTGTAGCCATACTCAACCTTTTTTTCCTTCGAGCAACATACATAATCGTTTCATACAACGTACATATGTTTGCTATGTTACACGGTCCGCAGCAGTATTGAATGATGACCCTTTTTTTAGGTTATCCATCTAAAATTAGTTAGTGGGAATCTCTAATAAATAAAATAAAAAAACAAATATATCCCGTCGGGTTAGGTACTGCAAACATAAGATAACTCACATTTTTAGAGTTTCGAGAAAACGCTGTTCAAATATTCAAAATTGAAAAAAAACTAATAAAAGCTTCAAACTGTTAAATAAGCAATAACTCCAATGAAAAAAAGGTATTCTAAAACATAATTAGTCTTCACAAAGTATAAACGATTTGTAACAAAAAAATGAGAAGAAAAAGTCACTTATTTGCTTTTATATAGCTGTCTACATACATATGTCTTCATGCAGGTCATACTATTCAATGTTTGTGTCACCATCTTCAAGAAGGTTCAGGTACCCCCAGACAATACTCCAAATCCCAGAGATATCCACAGAATATCTTTTGTGGATATCCAGTACATCCACAGGATATCAGAATTATCCCGTGGATCTAATATGGATATGCTAATGTCCGTCTGTATCCAGAATATAGAAGAAATCCTATGGATATATCCAGCAAAATATCTAATGGGTATCTCGATCCAGACAATACAAGAAATCCCAGAGATATCCAGTGGATCTAATATGGATATCAGGATATCCAAATGTCCGTCTATATCCCAGAGAAGATATTCGGATATTCAGCAAAATATTTTATGGGTATCTTTAGTAGAGGTTCATAAGTAACCAATGATTATTGAATAACGTCGAAAGAAAATAGCAGAGATAATAGTATATTACACACCGAGGTGGGAAGAGTTTCATTCCTGTCGTGAGATTAGTTAGATCACCGAGACGCGAAGCGTCGAGGTTAGCTATGATCTCGAGACAGGAATGAAACTTCCTACCGAGGTTTGTATACTATTTTATTTACAACCATCATATTTAGATCAAAGTTAATAAATCTCTGTTTTGTTCTGAACATACCTAAAATATTACATTTAACGACAAATTACCAAGCGCGCGGTTTTCTCAGAATAATCAAGTAGGTAAATATATTGTTACTGTGATTACGGGGTAAACAACTGTCACCAATATAAATAAATGTCAGATAAAGCCGGATATAAATTCGCGAATAATAAATATCAATAAGTAGTTTGGTATATTTTAGATCATTGTTGTTTTTTATTGTTTGCCATTAAATAGGTATTATAAAATTTGTCAAACACTGTGTTATTATTTTTTTTAAATATAAAAAATATTCATCTAGAATAGATGAAATGAGGACGGGAAGTGAGGGCGGGAAGTGAGGGCGGGAAGTAGAGGTGTGTAATGTGACACTTCCCAACCTTCAATGACGTTAGTAATGACACATTACATATATGGTTATTGTAAATAAAAATATTTTCAACACTCTGCCTTTGATTTTGCCCACTAAGGAGAAAGTCATCCTTATTAGGACTCTTCACTCTTCAGCAATAAATGGACATTCTCGACTCCAGTCTCTAATGGAGTCTAATTGGGAAAAAAATTTCGATCGAACTCAATTACGGCGGGTTGAGCATGAGCACGAGCGAAAGTGGTATCGCCATCTATACTTAGTAAGCAAAATCAAAAATTACATCATGCACCATGGTTTGCGTTCGCGCCTAGAGTTTGATATATTTAGTGGATGTCCATGGGATATTGAATTAATACACCTTAAAAAAATTAATTTTAAATATCTGAACGGTACTATTAGCCACAATGGCATATATTTTTAATAATTTGCTATATAATTACTATTATTTATGGACATTTGCATGTCTATAAATTACATCTCATGGATATAAAATAGATATCCACCATGGACTGGACATTCAGTGGATATTGGGATGTCAAGTAGATATCCAAAGGATTTGGTGTGCTGTCTGGGCCGTGGCTTTAGCATTATTGGATACAGGTATATTGTGTGTAGAACCTGATTTGAAAAGTTTTAGTAAATCTTTCTTCTTGGCATTACTAATATCTTGCACTTTTTGTAAGTATTTTCACAGCTTTTTTTCACCCTTTCAGGAATACCTCTACCGGTATGGCGTAATGTGAAAATAAGCTGGTGTTTCGGTGTTGTTTCGGTGATTTATAAGAGCGTCAGCATCCCTGCTCGTTACAGCTTGACCAAGAGTACTTGTTACGGATTATCAATCATTTACCACGATTAGGGTATCACGTGTTATTATCTATTGGTCTTTGAAGGTTAGCTCTATCGTGGAAAGAAAGGGTGACGTAATCACCTTGTCGATTTCACACCAATCGAGAAAGGCCAGAGACGGCTCTAGGTAAAACTAAATAACTTTCACAAAATGTTGAAGTATTTCAACAAATACATTCAACAAAAATAAGTGTTCTGGCCTTTATCTTATTTTGGCCGAAACACTATTAGGAATCGAGGTAAATATATTTAGCAAAAATAAGTTATATGTCTCTTGTTTTGGTTGATACACTATTAGCAACTGAACACAATTATGATTATATTTCGGTAAAAATGTAATTCATCTTGTTTGTGCATATTGTGAATATATCGATATGGAGTTATTGACCATTTGCTTATCATGAATATAGACCTCGTTCACATTTTTGTTTATACTGTATATTATTTAAATTATTTTGGAGACGAAAGTTTACTTAACTCGAAAATGCCAAAAGTGTAGCTTCCTTATTTTTGTAGTAGCTCTATGATCCAAACGTTTATTTAAAAATTTGCGTGACAATTAGCGCAGGGACCGATGTATGTTTTCGCGCATTTGGCTCAAAATTTTAAAGCCCGCGGGCCGCAGGTTGAGTATGGGCTGTTTTATTGACTGGTTTCTTCGGTTTATTTTTATTTTTCAAATATTTTTTATTACAATTTTTTTATCGTGCTCACCGGTAGGCACGTAAGCCCACTGACGACTTAAAATTACATTTGTGGAACCAAATGTGGGGAATGTGTACTAATTTTTTTTCTTTTTTGAAATAAATTGGGATTATTTTTTGTAGCATGAATATATGCTGAAATATTTTAGTTGTAAGAGTTACTAATTTTTACTTTCCTGTCTGTATACTGTAACGAAGTCACTAAATTTTAATTAATTATAAAAATGTATACTTATTAATTTCCGCCGAGGAACACGTTTCAAAGATCCTCGTATTTTGGATTTCCTAGTAATTGCCGGTTTTGAACATCTGAGAGGGCCCCGTAGTTTAAAATATTTTCGTATGTCGTAATTCATATTCGCATTAAGAGGAAACCGGACACACACAAAACTGCGATTACTTCTAGATTTGTTATTTTTTATTCGATATTTATGAAAATTCAGATAGCAATTCGAAAGTAAAAATTGTTTCCGTGACAGTCCTTGATTTTTTTGTAAACCTTCGAAACGTATTTTTTTTTTAACTATTTAATCGACTTTTGGGAAAAAAGTTTTCTCCTCAAAACTGTACTAAACCTGCAATATTTTACCGATTTTGTTTTTTTTTATATCAAGTGTAATTTAAATGAGAAGTATTCCCACCTTTTTGTATTAAAACTCCGTAAGGTGCTGCCACCGCTTATTTTAACCTATTCGCTTATTCTCAGTCGCACATTGTAATCGAAGGGTTACCAGAGGCGCGCGTCGAATTAGTTATTTGTTTTATATACGTAGAGAACATAACATTTTTATCGATTTAAGCGCTTTTGAGTGAACATGGGTAGAAGAAGTTTTGATAAAGGATATTTAACGTTGTGTGCTAAAAGGAAAAGTCATCGAAATATAATGAAAGCGTATTTTATTTATAAAAGCAATATTTAGTTATAATTTTCTTCTTGAAAAGTAAAATATAATTTATAATCCAGCTATTATGAAAATCGGAGATTGCAAAACATTGTTCAGCCTTTAACTGAATTGCAGAATTTTGAGGAAACCTGTGCTGGGTAAGTCGTAAAATAAAAGTTTATCTAAAAATTTTAGTGCCGTTTTTTAAAATTTAAATTCATATAGAAGAATCAACTATTGTGTAATTAAAAAAAAAATAGTTTGACATTTCAATATTTTCCTATAAACTTTAATAGAAAAATAAGCTTATTCATTATATTCATTATAATATTATTAATTATTATTATTCCTTCTTCCAATACAAAATTAGAAAAAGAAAAAAAATACACATTTCATTTTAAAAGTACAAAAAACGAGGATATAATATGTGTATATTAGATAAACATAAGATACAAGTGATTATAGGATGATTTAAATGGTTCTATATAAGTTATAAAAAAAATATTACTAATTTGAATTTTTGAATGAGGCTAAATATATATCAGTACTTCTAGTTTCTTGTCTACCCGTCATTACAATATATTTTTTAAAAATAGATTTAATCATATTTGAATTGAGTGTTTGCAAATATATTCTATAAATGTCTGGTAAATTATAGTATATTTTGAATGCTAGGTGAGTATAACATCTGAGGTAAACATTTTTTTCTACATATCTTCAGTATTTTTTTTATATGTAGAGTGACTGGCTAACTATGTTTAAAATATTTTTTATTTTAAGCAGGTAAATTATTATTTATTGCATAAAGAGCTGTCAGATGGAAAAGCGATTTTTTTACTATAAATGATTTCTAATATTTTTTCTGTAGAATATCTAATTCTTTTAAACGACAGTACACAGCTTCGCCCCAACTTAGTATAGCATAATTCAGTTGCGATTCCACTAAAGAATAATATAAAATTTTTAGGTGTAATAATATATTAATAATATAGTTTTTATTAAGACATTCGGGGTGAGGGGTTTGGTTACAGAAAAAATGTAATTAGGATTATTAATAAACGGATAAAATTTAAATTCACAGCGAAATAGATTATACCTGAAGTCTCCTAGAAAAAAGCAATACTTACCTACCGGGAAAACCCCCTAATGTGTTTGGCCAATATTAAAAACAATTAGGAATTTTGTATTTCGATTTGATTGGTACTTAAATTTTAATAATGAAAATTACTTATTACTTGTTAATCCCCAGGTAAGTAGACTAGTTCGGACATGACCTACAGGATATTTTTTTTTGAATGCAGCATGAGGGATAAATTACAAAGAGTTGATATTCTGTATAACAAATTATAATTTAACGTAAACAACTTTTGATGGATCCTTTAAAATCTGTAAAATGACAGTCCCGTTATGCTTAATGCTAACGAAAGTTAACTAAAATTAAAATCACATTTAAAAACAAGAGTAGTTAAAGTTTACGAGTTTTTCTCGAATTGATTTGGCCACTATTGATTTTAAGTTACAGAAAAATTGTTAGGGGTTCTTAAAGATCAATATCATGTTTATTTAAAATTGAAACTCAATATAGAAAAACACGGCGGAAATTTGAAAAACGACCCTCAGTTTCTTTATGGCAAATGGCTTTCGGTCGAATATGCTGAATTTTATATATGTTAGTTTTTGACCACCTGATTAAAAGTGTACCCGGACATTTTTGATCTTCTGATTAAAGAAGTTCTCCCATGACTACTTTTTGAAATACAGAATATTAAATTGGGGACGTCTTATTTTTTTACAAAATACAAGACGCAATCATTTTTTGCTGATATTCTTAAATATAATAAGTTACTGAACTCTCTAATATATTTGTGACTTCTAAAATACAATACCAACCTTTTTGGAAAACAAATATATAAGTTGAGTAATTTTTTAAATTAACTTGAGTAACTTAAAAAAATCGCTTGGCGCCTGAAATAGTGATTATAAATGGATTATTTTACATTTTTGAACTAAATTCGTTTTTATAGAACAAGCACTGCCGTTGAATCGAGGGCCCACCCAAATACTAGTCAAGAAATAGAGAGCACCACAAAAAGTATTACTGAGGATAGTAGCTGCAATACTACAAATCAATTAAAAATATACATCTCGCAGAAGCCATCATTTCAAAAAAAATTAAATGGGCTCAAATAGAAAATGAAGAATTAAAATTACACAGGAATCATATGTATTACTATCAAGTCCAAGGGCAGTTTGAGGTAGCAAATAAAGAAATATGTTATTTCATAATATGGAGTCCAAAAGGACTGCTGATAGAAAAGGTACTCTATAATATAAAAATTAAACGAATAATTACATAGGTCATTGTTTATTTATTTTAGATTGCAAGAGACAAACACTTTTGAAAGAACCATATGATAAATAAATTACAAATATTTTTTACAACTGCTTGCTTCCGGAATTAGTCGATCCGAGATTTCCAAGTGGATTGCCAATAAGAGACAATCAACGAAACGAACTAATTAGTAACCAAACAAAATATTAGTTTTGTACAATTGTACTTTTTATTTTATTATAAAAAAAATGAGCCTAATAAAATAATTTATTTATTGTACAAGTAGGTATATATATTTTTTGGCTTTGGTATGTATAAGTTATAAGCTATAAATAAAAAAAAAACAAGAAAGAAAATAAACTTTTATTGCTGGAAGGTCTCAAGTTCTTGAAAAACGCAGAGAGAAAGGTACTGCTCATTATTATATATCGTTATATTGTAGGCGGTGGATTTTAGTTCACTTTTTTGTTTAATTTTGATTCTTTCAGAATATCTTAGGTCCAATATGAACCTAACATAACATACCGATATTTGTTTCTTTTCTGATTGAAAAAAAAAATCAGTTAATCCCTTAATGAGTATTTGTTCTCCCTAAAAGGGTAAGTACTATTTTGTAGTAGTAGGTACTTAAGAAATATAATAGAAAAATACAATATGATTTTTTTGGTTTAACAAAAATATTTAATAAATAGTTACATGGCAAGAAAATATGTTGCGCCTATGAATATGCACTCAGCCAAGCGACGCAAGCTGCAGACATACGTTGGGTGTAGTTCTCTTACTTATCCTATTTGTAACTGCAATAACATACGTCTATTATTATAGAGGAAATAAATTCGCTTTTGGGCTGTCAGCGCGGAACGAGACTTAGAGGGTAAGGCAGGTAGAGGTGAATTTTGTTTATCACAGGAGCTCCGGTTTCCTCTTAAAAGATCGAATTTCATGCAAATATATTATCTAGATTGCTTTGCAAAGTTGTCCGAAAGTCATTTTTTTTTAGTGTGCGTGCGTGGGTGTGTGACAAAATGTGCAAAATTTTTATTTTTAAGAAAATTGTTAAACTAAAATTTGTTTGCTATATTTCTATAATTTTTGTTTTACACAAAATTTCTCTAAAACGGACCGTAATGGAAAAATTTGAGGAAAAGTGTAAAATTTAAATTTTTCAATATTTTCGTTGGCAATAATAATAATAATAGTTTATTATTTATCATATAAAACAAATGTGGAATACAAAATTTTATAACAATTAATGATGATAAATAAAAGGTTATAGTTAGGTCTGCAGACCCTATAACCTACAAATTCAAAATTAAATATAATTATATTCCTATACCCATGTCCTAATGTAATTAAAGAGGAAGAGAAAAAATAAATATAATAAATAAATAAATAAAAGTGACAAATACTAGACATTAAGTATGAATATGTTTAAAAAAATGTTTCGAGTAAAAGATGTATGTGGAACATGTATACATATTTATTTTATCCTCTAAATATTTACAGAGAGGTGATACAATAGGTTGTACAAAATAAACGAAAAAGCCTGTAATAATAGGAAAGTCATATATTGGACACATCAGATTTTTTAGTTTTATGATTTCAGATTTTTTTTAATATTTTTATTTTTGTGTTACTAATTGAATAAATTTGGGTGACCATAGGTACATCTTTTTCAAAGTATGTCCAGCTTTGGATCTTTTACAGTAAAACGCTGTATTTTATTTGTCTAGCTTCCAGCATTATATGTAATAGGTACATAAAATTTACTGAAACGTAACAAGACAAAAACGTAATGTGGATAGAAAAAGGTCTTCTATTTCTCTAGATATGTTCTATTTTTATCTGTGTAGAACTACTAAAAAAAGCTCCTCTGTTTTTTTTCATGTTGTAATTAATATATTTAATGAAGAGTTAAAAAAATCAAAAGTTCATCAACGTTGTATTTCATTGTTCAGCTACAACATTGGGTCAAAAAGTATGGTAGGTGCGCCCTGGAATAAAACATGGAGAATCGTTCCATTTAGGTTTTAAATTATTTTTCTTTATTACAGTTTAATGTGTTGTGTTTATCTAATTTGAAATTTCTTTACGTTTCTCACAACTCAATAATTATATTATCAATTCTGTTTGGTCCACAAACGGTTGTTTCTGTTGTCCCCTCTGGACCCACACTAATATAGGAACATAGATGCCATATAAAAAGTTGCGCACATGGACTTGAAGTGACAGTTGTAAGGTGTCCACGATACATGACTACTCACCCTGGACAGACCACAAATTTATTCAGGGTTAGTACTAGAATATCACGAATCTTTGGCGAAGTATCCATCAATAATGTGGTCAACTTAAGATGTATCAAAGGTCACGCCAAATCGAAAGATAACCGTCTTGCTGATTCACTTGCCTAGAACCTAAAATAGAAGGTAGCCAGTCATATAGCTACATACTTTTTGGACCGACAACATCGGTAGTGATAAACCTAATTAAAGAACATTCTCTTTTGAAATTCAAGGAAAGATGGGATGAAACAAGAAGCTGCAGACTTGCCAGGGAGCCTTTAAGGACCGATTCTACCATTGTATTAAACGAAGTTTAAAATTACATTATTATATTAACAATGTCATTTTAATCTCCGTTTAACACAACGGTGGAATCGGCCTTAAAGTTATCCTGACAACACTACAGTGAACAAATAGGTACTTGACTATAGTCAAGTCATATATGACTTGACAGAATCTGCGCCTGATCACAGGCATTCTAACTTGACATTGCCAACTACCAAAAGCATCTCCATATCATGGGCCTGACCATTCCGCACTATACAGGGGATGCGAACAAGAAGACGAGACAATCGAGCATATAATCTACGATTGCCGGATGCTCTTATTTATTAGAAGATTTGTGTTCGGCGAGAATTGGCTAACACCGGCCAATATAAGAGAAGCACCTCTTGGCGACGTTGTCAACTACATTTAACCTGGCTGACGAGCTCAGAGGTGCCTATTTTTACTCAGGAGGATGCACAATGGGCCTAAGTGCCGTGGGTTAACTTAACTACAGAAGTGAATACATATGGTCCAGCAAGTTAATCGGAAAAGGCTCACATGAGACTCAGACATGATAAAATGTGACAAACTTGAATGTTCTTAATATTTTCATCGGCATGTGACAATAGGGTAAATGTTGACCTCTAATTCATATTCTAAAAACTTTTTGTTTAGATGAAACGTACCAAATAGATTTCTTTTCTGGAAAATCATGTTGATATTTTATTACCATTGTCAAAATATTTATTTCAATAATTTTACATTTTTGTTCTGCTGCCAGGTATATGTCCAATAAAAACCTTGAATAGATTATAAATATTTAATATGAAATTCTAGATATATATATATTTTTTAAATTTAAACACCTTTAGGTATTTTTTATTTTTAAACCTGAATTTTATTTAAAAAAAATACTGTAGTTAAATTTGACCCCATCATACCTCAATTATTTATAAATCACCATACTTGTAATGGCCCAAGGAAATAAAAAACAATTATAAATCTTAACAAATTTAATTACAATAAATACAAAACGTACATATTGCAATAAAAGTCCCTTCTTAGTCTTCCTCTTCTTCAGCAGCAGCTCCACCAGTCTTCTTAGTAAGGTTCTTCCTCTTTACTCTACCTGGACGGCCACCACCGAACGGCGACTTCAATGAGAAATCAATGTGTTTTTGGGAGTCCAAACGTACAATGAATGAGGGAATGTTCACAACTTGTTTGCGGACTCTGAAAGGGAACACGAGTATTAAAAAAAGTTTTACTGAAACTATTACTAACAGTTTGATGTTTTCATATTTTTTTTAAGGATGTGGGATATAAGTATTTGGTGGTTCCTGTTAAATATGGAACTATGTAATTGAATCAGTGACTTCGAAAACCTTACAAGTCCAAAACTTAACATTTTAAAGTAAGATAGCCATTTTGTTTCCTCGATTGAGCTTAAAAACAGTACTAGATACCTATCCATTAAGGTAGTACAGCTGATTACACCCATGAAATCAATTAAAAAAACATACATATTCGTGATTCTTTAAAAGGTTTTCTCAGAAGATTGATTTTTAATGTACATTTTTCGAACTCACTGATTCAATTATAGTCACCTTCCAGTTTGAGATCTTTTTGCTCTTAAAAAAACAAGCATATGTACTTGTAGTTATTGCTATTGCAAATCTTAGTTTCATATTTTGAATACTGGCAATTTTTTAAAATAGAAATATTTCACAAATTGTGAATTTGACATTAATCAAAAAACCGCTTATTATATTTAAAAAATTATTTGTTTCCTTATTATTATTTTGCACAAGATATAGAACCTACATGTATGCTAAGTTTTTTTTCGTAATCAGTAATTAATTTTGGAACTAGATCAAAATTGTTAAGATATTTTATACATTATGTAATTTGAAATAATTATTACATTCCTAATCTTTTGTATCTACATAAACTCACCAAAATTATATCAATGTTCCATTGAAGATCAATTAAAACATTTTAATATAAAGAGTTTTACCTTAATACAAGATTTCATTTATTTTAGATAGGCGTTAGCCATTAGACTAAGTGGCCTTTAAGAAACATGTAAATCTACACGAATTTTCTTCATTTGAACCACAAAAATAATTGTATTACCGGATGTGACGTTGCCTTATCAAAACTCTAGCATGATGAATGGATTTAGCAAGACCAGACTTGAATACTTGGGTTTGGAGACGCCTTTCCAAGAAATCTTCAATTTTCAAACCCAATACGTAATCGAGTTTCATTCTGTTCTCGTCAAGTACTCCAATTCTGACCAATCGACGTAAAAGTGCATTACCTAAAATACAATTTTATTTAATTCTAAACTAATTACGAAAATTAAGTTTATAAAATTACCTTCGAACAATCTTTTGGGTTCTTTTTCTTCCAAAGTCAGCAATTCTCTGGCGGCTTTACGGATTTTGGCCAAAGTGTACTTTACTCTCCATACTTCACGTTTGTTACGGAGACCAAAGGCACCAATAATTTTCAATTCTTGGTCAAGACGTGCCTTTTCATATGGCCTCCTTGGGGTGACATAAGTCTTTGAATGAACCGACGGTATCCGACCGTTTACCATTTTGAGGTCTTACTGGAATTAAAAAAAGAACAGTTGTAAATTTATAATATTAATCTCAAAATTTTGAAACATGCAATACCACACGAATTGACATAACCTATTTTTTATAATCCTAAATTATATAAAGCATCCAAATAATTTTTCTTAAAAAGTTGATTGATACATTACTTCTACTCAAAAATATACAAAATCATTATAATATTTTTTTGAAATAATATAGAAATCATACCTTACAACTCAGTAACTGATACAAAAAAGAACTTACCGATCAAAACTCAAGGATGGAAAAGAAATTAAAAAAATATGACAAGACAAATAACAATTGATCTGACAGCCACTGCTGACGGTTTGTCGTTTCTAGTAGGTTGGTACCAAAAGGTGCGTTCTGAAACTTTAGAGTTCATCTCCTAGGAAAAACCAATGACTGGAGTTGGGTAGAATGCTTGTCAATAGACTTGATGTGAGACTCTATGGGCGAAGATAGGTTATTTTTCATCTCACTCGGGGGTATTTAAAATAACCATTTTCTATTTCACATTGTTATTGTCTGATCCACCAGCTTGTGGATTGAACAATAACAATGTGAAACAGAAAATGGTTATCATAAATAGTCCCGAGTGAGATGAACAATAAAAATGGCTGCGCCCATCGAGTCGCACCTAGTATAACATGTACATTGGCATTCTACACCCTCCAGTTCATTGGGAAAAACTGGGCCGACTTTATTTTTCTTTCTTTCTTTTACACTAGCAAAAATTTTGCTCGTTTCTCCTATAAATTAGATATGTGTCCCGCGTCTAACCGACCTATGACCTAACCACCACAGAAGTTGGCAGTTGCAACTTTGCAAATCTGCAAATATGGCGGACTTACAAATGCAAGTATTCCAAAAAGTATCTGCAAATTCGCAATATTTATTGTGATTTATTGCCCCCAACAACCCTAAACCCAAATTTGGAATACGAAAACTTGATATTTGCATGTGTAAGTCAGTCATATTTGCAGATTTTCAAAGTTGCCGCCATATTTGCAAATCTGCAAAGTTGCAGACGTTCTGTAATCTCACCCCTAATAAATTTCTTGGTGTTTGTGGTTCTATGTCAATATGACAGTTAAGGCAAGTTAAGGTTATGTATATGTTGACATTGTTGACGTTGGTGATAACAAAAAAATTAAGTAAATATGTCAGCTCCTTTATTAAAATCACTTTTCCCTAACGAAGAATCTGAAGAATGGACATTTAATAATCAAAATCGAGAATATTTAACAAAACTTGGAACATATAAAATAAAGAATTTAAAAAATGAACCAGATCGACTGAAACAGGAAGCCCTTATAGTGCAGGATCAAATCCAAGAATTGGCTATTACGAATTATAAAACTTTCATAGAAACAGCATTATGTTCGCAAGAACTGTTTTTTAAATTTGGCGTTATAGAGGAAAAAGTAAACGATCTTCTTGAGGACGTCCCGAAATTTGAAAAATCATGTGAAAATTTTGCAACTACCTCAGGTGAAATAAATGTTCTAAGAAAAACTGATTCAACTACTCTTGCTAAGAGCGCACAGATTTTAGAAATTCTAGAAATTCCTCAGTTAATGAACTCATTTATTAGAGATGGGTTATATGAAGATGCTTTGGAACTATGCAATTACGTTAGAAAGTTGCATTCTAAACATTCTGATGTTCCTTTATTTAAAACTATTAATGATGATGTTAATAAAGTCTGGATTCTTATGCTTCATCAACTTCTTTCTCAACTTAGACAGGATCTGTCTTTACCTAAATGTTTACAAATTGTTGGACATTTAAGAAGAATGGAAATATTTTCAGGTACTAATAAAATACTTAATATTTTGATTTGTGTATAAATCATGGCAATTGACAACCAGTTTAAAAGTTTATATTTTATATAAATTTTTGGGTAAATACCTATTTTGAGCTCTTTTTAATTACAGAAAAACTAAGTATACATAGTTGTAGGTATCCCTATTGTAAACATATCTTGTTCAAATAAATAAAAATATTCAATTTTTTCAATTAAAATCAATTTTTCGGGAAAGGGAGTGAATGGGGGTGCTGGGTGGGTAAAACAACATCAATAGTTACTATTATAAAATATTGTTAGGGTAAGGAAAATTAATTGATGTACTTTTGATAATAAATAATTGGATAGTAAACTTTTTGTACGACGTGAATAGTGTAAGATGTAAAGTAGCATCTCTGAGCTTTGATTTGAGATAATTTCTGAAATATCTTATTTAAAAAAATTAATTGTATCGTTATTATCAATTTACACAAGATATGGATCCAAGATTTTTTGTTTGGAATAGTTTACAAGTAGGTATGCTTACTTAGTTTTTTCATAAGCGAAAAGAGCTCAAATTAGATAATAACCAATTTTGGTGTTTTGTTTATTCTCCAAAAAACTGTACATTTCAGCCTTGCCAAATCTTTAAATCGGTAGATATCGTGAGAAATCTGTAAATTTAAATAATAGAGGCAGAAATATTATCTAAAATAAAATATATTGTTAAAAAACAATCACAAACAGATTTCTATTAAAAAACAGGCATACAAATAAAATAAGAATAAAAACAATTGAAAATGAGTTAGATATTACTCAAATTAAAATACTTCATTGAAAATAGAAACAAAAATTACCGGGATTTTTTAATTTAATTTAATTATTTAAAATTAATTCTGATGCCTTGGTAGGATTCCCCACTCGACCATTCACTGTTGGGTACTAATTATCAGTGCTGTTCCTAAAGTGGCACTGGGAAACAGTAACAAAGCCTACACAGAACACGAAGCTAATAACCGTAGCAGTTGATGCCGATGACACAAAAAAAAAGAATATGATACCTATTTCATCATTATCCTCAGATGCACAAAATAAATAGATGGACAACCTTTAATATATGCTTTGTTTGAAGCCAACATAAATAAATGATATTTGACAGTTTTGTTCTCCAGTGGCGTATCAAGTAGTTTTTTTATCAAAAGTTAAAAGATTATTTTTAAATATTTTGATTAATATGGATTTAAATAACGCAATTCCAAAAATTAGTTCCTTTATTTTTTATTTTAATGTACCTAATAAATAAATTTATAAAATATTTACACAGGCCACACAATTTCTAACTTATCTGTGGTTTCGAATAATCACACTATTAATATTGATTGTAGGTAAATAATTATTAAATTTTTTTAAATTTTTTTTTTGTTATATTTGCAAAAAACAGGCAATAAATATATGTATATATAAATATACAATATAGTATGTTATTGCCATCAAGCTTGTCTACCAACTGATATACCAAATATTACTCATTATGTGAACCAATTAAATTACTGTAATTTAAATAATGTATACCAATGGCGGCTCGTAGTCTAATTTACGGAAGGCTACTTTTTAAATTAATTTATCAAACTAACCAAAAAACTTATAATTCCGTATTCCTTTAATTTAGCACACTTTCTATTTATCCCAACCTAAGGTACTTGTGTTCCTACCACTTTTTTGTCAAAATTGTAGATGCTATGTACAAGTAACAGTTTTGTCATATTTTATCTTCTAAATCATTAAAACACTTATCTAATTCGTTAAAACACATATACTCTTGCCTTGAAAATCATCTAGTATCTAGTATATGAACCCTTTGACCTTTTGTCTGTCTGAGTAAGTTTTAAAGGAGAGTATGCCTTCTCAAAGATTTAATATACCATTTTTAACCTGCGAATGTCACGAAAAAATAATATTTAAAATATTTTGTACCACTGCAGGGCTGCAGGCAGAGTATTTATATTCTCTACTGTCGTTGAAATCCATATTTCTTTCGGGAAATCGACTAATTTAATTATGCTGCAGAACACTGGCGTAAATAAAACAATTTTTTATATAGAAATTTATTTGATTTTAAATGATTTTATATTTTCATTCATTCATAGTATTATGTTATGTTATATTGGGAATGGGATGTTAATACACTGCGACCTAAAACAACTATTGTGCCCCCTTCTGTCGCTAATGCACCAAGGAAATGTCTCAATGCCTATAACGACCCTTCCAATCCTCTTTTCTCAAGGAAGTGTAGGATTTGAAGTGGCTTCAAGTTAGGCAAATCTCCCTCTTCTATTTGATATCCTCCTAGATATAGTGCCCTTGGATTCTGGAGTGCTATACATTCAGTTAGGATGTGAATGGAGGCTTCGTCCTCCTCCTTACAGAATCTGCACTCACTATCCTCTACTACTCTCAGTTTACTTAGGTGTTCTTTTAGTCGGCAATGCCCGGTAAGGATCCCTGTTACAATGCGTAACCTGTTCTTGCTCAGGCAGATGCAGGCTTCCGATCTTTTCTGGTTATATTCACCCAGAAGTATCTTGGCCTGTCTCAGCCCCAAGAGATTGTTCCAATTATCGGTTCTTCTACTGCCCAATTCTTTTTTAATCTCTCCTAATATTGTTACTGCTGATACCGCAGAACGGCTCAGGTCTTACAAAGGGTGTTTGAGCCCCTTTCCTTGCAAGACTATCTGCAATATCGTTACCCTGTACCCCGTTATGTCCCGGGACCCAAATGAGAGTAACTCTGTTTTTCTCGCCTAGCTCATTCAATTGTTTTAGGCATCTCTAGACCATTTTTGAGTTGATTGGTATTATAAGATGCACGTTCTTTTTGTAGAACACTGAATTATCCGGACATTGACAGCAATGCTAAGATATTAAACGAACTCTATACAAAAGCAAGGCGGACATTTTCGTAGCTATCTTGCATGTAAAAATTCTCTCTATATGACCGCTCGAGTACGAGAATTGAAGGCGCTGTGTGTGTGTGTGTGTGTGTGTGTGCGTGTGTGCGCGTGCGTGTGTGTGCGTGCGTGCGTGTGTGTGTGTGTGTGTGTGTGTGTGCGTGTGTGTGTGCGTGCGTGTGTGTGTGTGTGCGCGCGCGTGTGTGTGCGCATGTGTGTGTGCGTGTGGTGTGCGTGTGTGGTGTGCGTGTGCGTGTGGTGTGCGTGTGGTGTGCGTGTGGTGTGTGTGTGTATGGTGTGTGTGCGTGTGTGTGTGGTGCGTGTGTGGTGCGTGTGTGGTGCGTGTGGTGTGTGTGTGTGGTGTGTGTGTGTGTGTGTGTGTAATGTGTGTGTGGTGGGTTTGTGGTGTGTGTGTTGTGTGTGGTGTGTCTGTGTGTCGCATAACTCATGAACCAATACACAGAAAAACACCAAATTTTAAACTTAAGCTTTGTTCCAGCGTCCAATGAACTGATTAGATTTTGGGCAGAGATTTTATATTTTATGGAATATATCTGTTATTTACATTTGGAGAAGAAAATTCTTTAAATAAAAGTTACTCCTAATATTATTATCTATAATTTTTGTTCTATTGTGACAAAAACCAAAATCACAAATACAGAAGGGACAAACGCTGTTCTTATGTTATGTTGGAAATGGGGTGTTAATATACTGTGACCTAAAAGATCAATTGTGCCCCATTCTGTCGCTAATGCAGCAAGGAAATGTCTCGATGCATATATCAACCCTTGTCCAGGGTTAGGCCTAGATATTTGACTTATTTTTTCCATTCTATATCTATCCCGTCTAATTTAACGGTTTTGAGATTGAATTTTCTTTTCCTTGAAAAGGCTACTAGTGTAGTTTTCGAAGGGTTTATACTAAGTCCCACCTCGCGTTACCATCTTTTGGTGTATTCTAGTCTCTTTGGACTCTATCACACAGGATATTTCCAAACTTGCCTCTAGCAAATATGACTATGTCGTCGGCATAAATTTAAAAGGGTATGTCGAGGTCAGTCAGTCTGCATAGAAGTTCGTCTACGGATAGACTTCACATTAGTGGGGATAGAACTTCTCCTTGTGGACATCCTCTGATTGTGCACATGAAGATGGAGTCTGCAGTTTTCGTAGATAGCAGCTGGGCCATCCATTTGGATGTTGTGCTATCTACTCCTCTGTATGCAAGTGCTCTTTCAACAGACTTGTGTAGTGTGTTGTCAAACGCGCCTTCTATGTCAAGAAAGACGCACACCCGTTTATTTGTCAGTGGATTACGTCAGTCAGCTGTACCAGGGCAGTTTCTGTAGATCTTCCTGCTCGGTACGCGCTCTGGCTTTGGTGGAGTGGCACCCTCTCCTGGACTTTCTGTTATAATTATCAACAGCCTTCTCCATTGTTTTTAATATAAAGGACGTGAGGCTGATGGTCGGATGTATTTAGGATGTGAGGTATCCTTTTTCCGTACTTTTGGAATAAAAATGACTCTGGACCTTCTCCATGATTTTGGTATATATCCCAATTCCAGACTGCTCTGGATTATGTGTGGTAGTAATTCCTCCTGTGCCCGATGAAGCAGGGCAAGAAATATTCCATCCACATCTGGAAACTTAAACGGTTCAAAAGTGTTTACGGCCCACTTTAACCGATTGCTGCTGCATATGTGTTTGGGCGCTACAGCGGCCTCTCTTGAGTGACTGCTAACCTTAATTGTGTCCCTTATTTGAAAAGGTGTGCTCCCAGGAAAGTGAGATTTGAGTAAGAGGCGAGCTCTTTCTTCCTCACTCTCCGCTTCTTTAACGCCATAATGTATCAATAATCTCCTCGCAGAATTTCCTGAAGCTGTTACGTTTAGTTTTCCTGATTTATTTGTTGTGATGGCAAGTGTCGGTGTAGCTCTGCCTTATTATAGAGCATCTGCATTCTGCACTTCGGATCGTAAGTTTGACAGATGACGGTTCCACCAAAGAGCATCCCTACTAGTTATTTTTTAATGGGGCAGCTTGATTCATAAGCCTCAAGTATTGCCTCATTAAGTTCTTCGAGATCGCTTTGGTATTGTATTTGTCCCAATCTGTTTTTCTAGGATTCGTCCTGAGGTTGGTATCAGGAGTGTCGTTCTCTGACTTAAACACAATTATCTTGTGATCATATAGAGATGGTTCACTCGATACTCTCTAGTTTTTAACTAGATCGTTAATGCTTGGTGTACTTAATGTGATATCTAATACCTCACTTCTTGTCCTTGTTACAAATAGTGGAGTATTCCCAATATTTTGCACAATAAGGTTCTTATTAAAAATATATTCTAGATGTTGCTCACCTTTTTGATTGGTGTCGTTGCTTCCCCATATGGTGCTGTGCGAGACGCTCATGGTTGTGGCATATCTCTTATTTTCAGATCTCTATCTCTTGAGTCCCACCAAGTTACTCTGGTACAATGTTATTTAAAAACCTAAAAGTTTTAACTGCATGTGGAGTATTTATTCTGGAATTTTTAAAATGTATACATAAAAATAAAGATATTGATTCGCGAAAAAATGACATATCTAATTTTATAACACAAGACAAAACATTGGACAGGGATGCTTTTGTTCGAACTCAACACGTTACGAGAGAGACATTACATAAGAATCGCATTCTGTCGAACGAAGATAGGTGTCTTGATATATGCAAGTTGGCGGGCAGCACTTCGATCATTTACTAATACGGTAAGCATTGAATCGCTTTTTGCATTTTCCGTCACACATTATTGTTTAACTTTCAAGACTTCATAATTTTCTAAACGAGTGGCTCGATTTTCAAAAACTCAGCAGCGTTGTATTGGGAATGACAAGACCCTTTTAATGAGGTATCACTTGACCCCTTCCCCTTTGAAAAAATTTGGATGATGACACCCCTACTGAGGGTTTTGCTATGCTTTTTGCGACAAACTTGATGTGTTTTTTGGATTTCGTCGAAAAGTTCTTTTTCACCTTGTAATACCTTGCGGTACGTTTTCGATGAGCCACCCTGTATAACAGATTGTCAAACTTGAAAATTTAACAAATCGTAATACTCCTTTGAGAGTTCTAAAACAGGTGCTAAATAAATTTATATGGAGTAAGATATCCATGTTCCTTCATTAAAAATATGGTTTTGTATTTTATGTATTCTTTGTTTTTTAAATTTTGTATTGTTTTAGTATTTTAAATATTTTCTGACTTGCTAAAATAGCTATTTATGCCACCAGTTACGAAATGCCTTATTTTATGGCATAAAACGGCCTTTCGTAACATACAATAGTTTTTCAAATTTTACCTAGATTATTTATAAAATTGTGTTTTGGTAAAATATTATTGACATCTAGGCAACTAATATTACTTTATTGTAATACAATATCTGCAGAGAATCGTGATTTGGTATTTTGTGGTTTTCCCACATCGTATTTTAAAATTTGGCGATGCAATACCAGAAATCGCCTGGTATACAGACACCTCCAAAACCAATGAAGGAGGAGGAGTAGGTATATAGTTCGTTAACTCACGCATCCAGCAAAATAATGATGAGCAGCTTATTATATTTGGACGTGAGAGGTATAAAGAGAGCACCTCATGAATCGCCTGCCTGCCGTGATTGGACTCATGGTTACACCTCTATGGGTAGTGGGATAGCAATTATTCTATACCGTTCTCTTTGAGTCAGGATTGCATAGTTAAAGTACTGTATATAGTGTCGAGCAAAAGATAAGAATCTCACTGACCTTAGGTAAATATGCGACAGTATTCTATGGAGACATATCAGCAATACATCACTGCGGAAAAGAGGTACTTAAACATAAGGTAAATTGTCATATATCATGGTACCTTCAAAGATTCTGTGAGACTGTTCGGAAACTCCAAAAGAGCTGGTTAGTCAATACAGACTAACCTTAGCCTGGGTGCCGGGCTACAGAGGACATGAGGCTAATGAAGAAGTTAATTTACTAACCTGAGAAGAAGCCTCAGAGGCCATTATTGTTTCAGAACCCTTCTGTGGTATCATAACGACAGCGGTCTAGCAAAAGAGACTGTGATGATTTTGTCAGGAAGAGGAGGAAACTGCAGAACACATACTGTGCTATTTCATAGTTTATGATGTCTACTAGAAAATACCAAACTAGACAAACTATTCTAACCAGTGATCACCAGGATATCCACAATAGATCTGAAAAGGTCGAGGTAAAGGAAGCTACATGGCCCCCAGTCCAAATGTAGCCTAATCTCTTTCACTCCGAATTAAACATATTTTTTCTCTTAACGTCAATTCAAAAATAATTATTAAAAATCACCTATTTCATAATCAGAAGCGCTCTCAGCAAAAGTACTTTTACTCACCTTGTCCAAAAAGTTAGACTTTAAGTTCATATCGGTAGTAAAATGACAGATTTTCTGACGTTGGATGATACAATATGTATTTCTCAATATTTTTAGAAATATTTAGCTTTTTCTGAGAAAATAATAATAAGGGTAAAAAATAAAAACAAAACGTATTACCACTGATTTATTTGATCCGGAGCCTTCCTTTGTTTATCCAAGACATTAAAACTAGAATACAACAGTATTACATCGGTTTGATAAGTGATAAAACTTTTGATCCCATTACGAAGTATTTTTTTTGCAAATATAAGGTCCATTAGGCTTATTTGTATACTAACTAACTATAGGTACCTTTATTTGATCTTATTTATTCAAAGTGGATATAGATAATCATGGGGTTCCTTGTAAATGGAATGTGTGTATGGGTTCATTAAATTATTTTTAGTTGGTATACTTTTACTACCAGTGAAAGTATTGTTCATTAGTATTTGCATACAAAGCTGTCATTGTTATAAAATGTATTATAATTAACATTTAAGCCCCTTGTGTATTTAAATGATGTAATAACTTTTATGGGTTTTAATTGTTTCAGAACCTGAATTAAGGTTGAAATTCCTACAAGCGAGATCGCACTGGTTGGAGCAACAACTGAATTCTTTAAGCCGAGATGATTTGATTGTGCATTTAACGAAAACTGTTGAAATTACTAGAGTGAATTTATTCAATATTCTGACTCAGTATACTGCTATTTTTAATGACGACGAACATAGTCCATTAACTGTATCACAATCTAAAACAACAAATCAAAACATTATTTTTAAAAGTTGGCTGCAACACCGCCTCTCTTATTTTCTTGTTACACTAGATGAAGATTTGAGTACTGCTACTTCTTTTGAGACTATCTTTGATCAGTGCATGTACTTTGGTTTTTCCTTTAGGAAAGTCGGTTGTGATTTCAGGCCTTGGATAATTCCGATATTCACGAAGCATATTCATCAAAATTTCGTAAATTCAGTCACAACAGCAGATAGAAATTTTATGAGGAATATAGAAAAATTTACGTTAATCGACAAGAAAACTCCATCGATCCCTTGGAAACATAACAAAGATGATGAAATTAGACCGCCAGATAACCTATTAGAATTTTATCCATTAGCTGAGTACATCAACAATATTTTAAATGCTTTAAATCAACTGCGATTATGTCCTCCTATTGCTTTGATAACTGAAGTCGTAGAAACTCTGGAAGCTTCCATGGTACTCATTGCAAAGTCCCTACAGAAACTCTACAGCCAGGAGCAGCAAGCCTTTTCTGTTAACTCGAAAGACGCCTTTACAAGATTGTGTATGTGCTTTTCTGACGATCTCTTACCATTTGTGCAAAAGTGTATTCATATTATTTATCCACCAAGCCATATTGCTACAAAATTGGGAGTTAGTGTTAAGGTATTACAGGAAGAAAGCATTACGTTTTTAAATAAGGATGATATTGTTGCACCTATTAGTCATTCTTTACCTGTTAGGATTGAACCTGATTTAACTGTAGAAACGAATTAAATTATTGTGATAAAGAAATTAAAAAAAAACTTATAAGTGTATAATTAATTTTTTCCACCGTTACACAAGTGTCTGGTCCAGGCCCGGATCAAGGGGGGAGTGGGTGATGTTCCCCTGAAGGTGGCTCAGGCAATTTTGATATAAAAAATGACAATATATCGAAGCTCCAAAGTGAATACCCAATAAGTAAAAATTTAGATATTGGCGTCCAAAGAGTTTTTGTTCTTTTAACTACAAATTAAATCATTTTGAAAGTTTACCTTGCGTTTAGACTAAAATAACGAATAATTAGATTGCTTTTAGTTTATAATAATCAAATTGACATTTGCTTTAAACTTTATAGATATATCAAAATTTACACATAGACAAAGAATTCCGAAGAATTATCAGACATGTGTTGTTATCTTGTAATGATTAGGTAAGTGTTACTTTTAGTTTATAATAAAAAGTCACGGAAAGACCTAAACGCGAGAAGTTATAAAAATCTGTATCCTAATTACTTTGTTTAAAAAAATAAAATTATATGCTTGTCCTACATAGAATCCGTAACATTATACAAGGTCGGTTTCAGACAGAATTTTCGCGAGGGGCCATGTCCTCAAAGAGCGATGACCTTCTTTTCTTTTCAACCCAAAGCAAAGATAAACACGAGGCGCATCGCATGTACAAACTAGAAGAACTTTTTTTAGCTCCTCAACTCTTACTTATTCTTTCTTTTGTTCGGTATTTTGTACAGACTTGAAAATACTGTACGTATTGTAACACTTCACCTCGGGAGGCGCCATGGTTCCTTGAGGCCCATCACGAAATGCTGTGCATATAGTCAGCCTAAATAAAAGCTTCAATGGCTCTGAGGCTCTCCCCTGGTGCCGTCCTTGGACATATTTAGCATATAGTAAATACAGAAACAAAGTTGGTTCATAGGATTCTTGCCTAGCCAAAAATTGTTCTTTGCACATATATCGTTTTTTCAGAATACCAGTTAACAATACTGTATTCGATGGTATGGTCCCCTGAGGCCCACCACGAAATGCTGTGCATAAAGTCGGCCTAACTAAAAGGCTCAATGGCTCTGGGTCTCTCCCCTGGAGCCGCCTTGGAAATATTTAGCATATAGTAAATACAGAAACAAAGTTGGTTCATAGGATTCTTGTCTAAACAAAAATTGTTCTTTACTCATATGTGATCGATGGTATTCGCTGTGTGCAAGACTGGTAGCGCTCTCTGGTGACGGGATAGCGACAGTTCTCCTCATTCATTCCCGCATACTTGCTATACACCTCACACTCAACAGTTGAACTTGAAAATTCTTTTTCAACAATTAAGTGTTGCAACAAGTTTTGTGTTCGCTGTTAGTTGATAGACTAACAAAAATTGTTTCTGTCGCACAAAAAGTAAGTAAATGACATAAAAATATTTGGAGGTTATGCATACGAAGTATCTACATTTTTGTCATGAGTGTCATCTTGTACACTGGATTTGAGAAAATATCTCATGACATAAACTTTCAGCCTGAAACGCCAAGAAAAGGTAAAGATTTGGTAGAAGCTGGGCATGTCATAAATGTCGATGAGCACAGAGAGTCAGGTGTTGGCCTTTTTATCCGAGCTGGTGTAATTAGACAAACGTCTGTCACGAAAAAAGAATATCTTGTAGAATTGCATGTAAGATAAAAATTTTGTTGAAATCCATTTATTATTGACAATAATAAAAATAATCGCTACTACGATGATGTGGACAAGTGCCGTCTCCTGCCACCATAGGCGCTGCGATAGCTCAATCCCCTCCAAGCCAAATGCACACAGCGAATACGAAAGTTGTTCTCTTTCCGCTGAGCCTATCTAGTAGGCGATGATATTGTTGCAACAAATTTTGTCTGACATTTCAATCTAGTTGTTTACAAAGTTTAGTTAGTAACAGTGTTTAAATATACCTGATTGTAAGTTTAAAGTAATCCTTTCATCAATAAGTGATGGAAATTAACAATAAGCAGCATTATCAGGCTGTGAATTTTAGAGTTTTAAGCGTGGCTTAAACCGTAAAGAAGGTTTTTTGAAAATCAATCGAAGGCTTGGTGGTAAGTCTTGATTTCTTCGCTACCGTAAAGCGATGGTGTACAATGAATTTCAACGTGGTAAGCTTTCCTTAAATGATAGTTTTCGAGCTCTTAAGCCAAAAACGGATGATACAGAAAAAAATATTGATCTTATTCGGAACATGATTAAAAGGGACCCGTACATTACTCTCAGAAACATTCAAGCAACTTCAAAGAGTGGTGTGAAAGCAATTAAGACTATTTTATACAATCGTTTGAAAGTCCATTAAGCTTTGTTCTCCATAACTTGACTTCGGCTCGAACAGAAGACCGTGTGAGATGGAATAGGTCCTACACTAAATCGCTTTGACCGTGGTTCGTCTAATTTGATGCATTTCTTTATAAGCTTACTACAACATACTTGGTTACAGTAATGTGGTAAGTGTTCTGTGATTATGGTAACTGTGTCAACCCTATTATTGAATGTCATGTCAAATTTAATTTAAGTTTGGGGATTTCTAAACGATTTTGTTATTTTTTATTATAGTATTGTGTTGTTTGTTTATTTCAAACAACATTTTATTTATTAATAATTTATTTAAACACTTATTTATTTTAAACAATACTATTCTAATTTATATATATTTAGAATGTCTCTGAATCGTTCACTATTTATATTCACAATCCAATACTTTATTCTTAAGTGTCTATATACAACTGATACAGCATTATTCTCCACCAATATTTATATACAAATTTAAAATTATGGTGAAGGTTCCAGAATGCTCCTCCGCCAAACTAGAAATATTTCGTTATTTTTGGAATACACTAGAAACATTATCCCGTTCTTTCTCGAAAATCTCGAATAGTAATCGAAAGCTCCTCCGCCATAGTCGTCACCTATATTTGGTCTTAATGGGTTTAATTATGTATGATAATCGGACAAGTTGAGCCTCAAAGGCCAAATAAGACAGAGAGAGGGACTTAGAGGATTAGAGCATGACTGAATAATGAAATAGCTCACATTACAGTATGTTTTATGTAAGCTTATAAATAAATGATTCGTTAGATGTAGCTACATATATTAGGGTTGCCACCTTTTTGAAAAATGAATAAAGGACAACGGCGACAAAAGGGATTCGCTTACAATATTTTTGCCCACCTAAAAAAGTCCTCAACAGTTATTTTAATAACTCCCTTGTCTGCCGAGCTGTAAAAAAAAAGTTCCTCGGCTTATATTTTTTATAAAAACCAGGTCCTTTTAAAGGACATGTGCGGTAAAAAAAGGATATTTTAAGTTTTAAAAAATCACAAGGACAATTTGTTTGAAAAAATACTGTCCCTTTCAAAAAAGGACAGGTTGCAACCTTACTACATATGCCTTGCGGTAACATATGTAACCAAAACAGAGTAACCAAAAACCTTATAAAGAAATGCTCTGGTTACATAAGTATGTTCTGCACAGGGATTCTTATGTGCGAACTCAACACGTTATGTGTTGAATGGAGAGAGACATTCATTAGAATCGCATTCTGTCGAACGAAGATAGGCGTCTAACACGTACCAAATTGAAAGATGAGAATCCCACTGCTGGCAAGCTTATAAAGAAACGCCCTTTGGTGTACAACAGTATCACAGGTGAGGACACATAGGTATACTGCTATTATTCCAAAAATATGTCTTTGATAATGAGTCAGCCCCAACAAAAGTGTTGTTCATGAAAAACGTTTTTCTTAAAAAAAAGCAGAAACAAAAAGATGATCGCCACTTTTTTTGTAATTATTAGGCATGTTTCCACTGTAGCACTGGAGGATAGATGTATTGTTAATTTAGAATGGTACACTACTTTGTTTTACGTCAAAGAGGAAGATAACACTCGGGCTCACACTGCTGCTCGAACAAATATATATGTCCAAAACAGAAATAATGGGTCATTCGCCATATAGTTCCGAACTAGCTTCTGGCTTCTTATTTCCGCGGGTAAAGGATAAATTACGGGGTTTACGTTTTACATCGGCAGAAGAAGCGGATGATATGCCTTTAAAAATGAAAAACTATGACCAGAAAATGCATTGATTGTGGAGGAGAATAGTTTGACGAATTATAAATACGTATAGAGAACAGCCTTCGTAAAAGTCATGTTACAAAAGTATGTGTCTAAAAAAGGTAACATGCTGATGAATTTAAAAGTACCCCGGTTAGAATCAACACGTACAAACCTTGCATTTTTCACTGGTTCTGTATAAAGATGGTTCGCACAGATTGTAGCAGGTATTTGCCTTGTGAACTTAGAGGAGAGATCATCTCTAAACCTGGAGCTTTGTCAAATGCATGTTCTCAAATCATGGTAAACAACTTAGGGATAAGATAATGATTATTTCAGGCAATCCCAAAGCACTGCAAGGGGTACAAATGCAATTTAAACTAATATTGGATTGCCAACATTCCAGAATGAATTCAAAGATATCTATCGATCAAAGAAACTGTTCAGGAATAAGAAAGCAGAACTGGGTAACCTCAACGTGACCTCAACCCATGCATGGGCGAAGTTATGTCATCAGATCTGGGGGGGCTAAAGCCCTAGCCCTAGTCATATAATATATAAGTAGATGTAATTGGCCGGTTCTGGAAATGAGAAAGAGGTACAGAGAGAGGTAATTGGGTAATTAGTAATTATCCTAAGTACCCCCCACCCTTTGCGCAATTAGCAAGTACCTCCCAATTACATCATGTACTGTAATAAGTGCAATTGCACAGTAAGTACCACCCAATTACATCATGTACTGTAATAAGTGCAATTGCACAGTAAGTACCTCCCAATTACCATGTACACGCCATACTGTAATGATTGTAATTGCATAATAAGTACCTCCCAATTACCCACAGGGTATACATCTCATTACTCCATACATATTAAAGTGTAAGTACACCTTAGGTAGTAATTACTGTATGCAATGTAGTGTAATGAATGTTATCTAAGTGCCTCCTAGTGATTACTGTTGGCAGTAGGTCCTTAACTCTCGACCGTCGTGCCTAGAGTGCTTAGCCTGCGTTAGAGACGGTCGCGCTTAACCGAAATATCGGGGTAGGGCTGAGAAAAAGTGGGGGCATTTTCTAGAGGATATATACTAGGATCCGCATCCAAATAAAATCAGTTTAAAATCGTGAAATTTAAAAGGTC